TCTTATGCTTGCGCTTGAACTCTGCAATGAAATGGTTGACCATTCTGTTGTCAAAGTCTTCTCCACCCAAGTGGGTGTCTCCAGCTGTAGACTTGACCTCAAATATCCCATCTTCAATAGTGAGGATTGACACATCAAAAGTGCCACGTCCTAAGTCAAAGATGAGCACGTTCCTTTCAGCACCAACCTTTTTGTCCAGATCATAAGCAATAGCAGCAGCAGTTGGCTCATTGATGATTCAGAGGACATTGAGGCCAGCAATGGTTCCAGCATCTTTGGTAGCCTGGTGCTGAGAGTCATTGAAGTAGGTGGTACAGTGACAACAGCATTGGTAACAGTCTTCCCAAGGTAGGCTTCTGCAATTTCCTTCATCTTTGTGAGAACCATAGAGGAAACCTCCTCTGGATAGAAACTTTTGGTCTCTCTTTTATATTCTACTTAGACCTTGGGCCTGCCTGCATCGTTCACCACCATGAAGGGCCAGTGTTTCATATCAAACTGCACAACAGCAAATCTTCGTCCAATGAGACGTTTGGCATCGAATACTGTGTTAGTAGGATTCATTGCCACATTGCCAATCAGTCGTTCAGTATCGGTAAATGTGACATAGCTTGGGGTGGTCCGGTTGTCTTGATCATTTGCAATGATCTCCACTTTCCCATGCTGGAAAACCCCTACACAGGAGTAGGTGGTGCCAAGATCAATGCCAACCGCAGGGCCCTTGGACATGGCTGCTCAGTGAAGGTCCCAGGTGGTGGAGGGGAAAAACCATACCTCAAGTCCGCCGCTGTGCTAAATGAGGCCCGATAAAGTAACTCGATGCATGTCACTACATAGATGAACTTTGAAAACATGTTGAGTGAAATAAGAGCCACAAAAAGGCACATTTGTATAATAACTTCACTTGTTTAAGATAAGCAAACACACAGCAACCAAAGATTATTAGTGATTACCAGGGGTGGGAGGGAGTCTTTAAGTGGCATAATGGGGGTAGTAAAATTTAATATACCACTAATTATTACTGTTATGTGCCATCGAGTTGTCTGCGATATAATAGCTCTGAACTCTGCCCTATCCTAAGCCAATCTGCTTCTACCCCTATTTTCCCAGTTAATGTGTCAATAAATCTCATCTGGGGTCCTCCTCTCCTGAGCTGTCCCTCCACCCTTCTAAGCATAATGTGCTTCTCCAAGGATTGGTCCCTCCTGGCCATGTGCCCAAAGTATGTGAGACAGAGCTTCAAATTCCTTGCCTCAAAGAAGCAGCCTGGTTTTACCCTCTCTGGGACAGATCTGTTTGTTCTCTTGGGAGTCCATGGTATGTTCATATCTCTTCTCTAGCACCACAAAAGGCATCAGTTTTCCTTCTGTCATCTTTACTCTCTAGTGTATAGCAAGTGATTGCGAAGACCATGGCCTGAATCAGGGCACACCTTAGTTCCTAGACTGACATCATTACTCTTTAGCACTTTGAAGAAGTCCCTGACAGCAGATTTTCCCAGTGCAATTTGTCTTTTGAGTTCTTGACTGCTGGTGTCAATAATATTGATTGTACATCTGAAAAAGCTGAAATTGTTAACAATCTCAATCTTTTCTCCATCTATCATGGTGCTGCCAAGCCCAGGAGTGAAAATCTTTGTCTTCTTGATGTTGAGCTTCAAATTACATTGAAGACTACAGTGCTTGATCTTCTGCAGCTAATGTTTCCGGTTCTCCTCAATTTCTGTGAGCAAGGTTGTGTCATCTGCAAAATGTAGGCTGTTGATGAGTCTTCCTGTGACCCTGATGCCATATTCCTCTTCATAAAGTTCTGCCTCTCAAATGATTTGCTCCACATATACATTGAAATGGTATGGAGACAGGACACATCCCTGACACACTTCTTTCCTGGTTTTGAACCATGCAGTGTTTCCTTGCTCTGTTCTGACGACAACTTCCGGGTCCAAGTATAGGTTTCATTTGAGCACAATCAAGTGTTCTGGGATTGTCATTCTTTTTACCATTCTAGACTTCAGCGGGATTTTGCTTGCATATTATACCAGTGATATTGTTTCCACACTGTCAGGCAAACCTTTTTTAGCATGGAAACAAATATGGATCTCTTCCAGTCATTGGCCAAGTAGTTGTTCTCTAGATTTCTTGGCACAACTTGGTAGTCAAGGCAGCATCTAGAGCTCTTTAAAATGTGTGAATCATTCTCTGTGTATTAATTCTTTCTGTCTTCACAGTAACCCAGTGAGATAGTGGTTGTCTAGTTGAGAGTGACTCATAGCTGACCCTCCAGTAGGTTTTCAAAGGCTGTAAATCACACTAGAGGAGATTGCTTATCTTTCTTCCTTGGAGCAACTGGTGGATTTGAACCTTCTGCCTATTGGTTAGCAATGCAACTTGCTACCATTAAGCAACCAGAGCCGAGCTAGATCATGTAATTATCCCTATTACACAGATAAGGAAACTGAGATAGAGGTAATTCATCCTAGATCATACATCTAGTAAATGTGGAGCCTGAACTCAACCCTTTCTAGGGATTTCTATCTTGCTCCAGAATCCACAGTGGCTTTTAACCACTGTGCTAAACTGCCTCTTACTTAAAAATGACATTGAATTCTTTATAACTTTTCAAATATATTTTCAATTTCTCTACTAGATTATCACCACTGGGCTGATTGGCAGCATCATGATAGAGGGTGAAGAGACTGAGATTGTTGACATTTTCCATTTGCTTGGCTCTACCATCAACACTCTTGGTAGCAGCAGCCAGGAAATTAAAAGATGAATTTCACTGGGAAAGTCTGCTGTCAGAGACCTCTCCAAAGGACTGAAGAACAATGATTTAAGTCTGGAGACTAAGGTGTGCCTGCACTTGCTATGCATCAGAGAGCTGAACAATGACTAGGGAGGATAGAAGGAGAGTTAATGTCTTTGAGCTGTGGTGCTGGAGAATAGTGTTGAATATACGATGGACTGCTAGGAGAACAAACAAGTTCATCCTGGACAGGGTGAAGGCAGGCTGCTACTTGGAGACAAGGATTCTGAAACTTTGTCTGACATACTTTGGACATGTTTCAAGTCGGGAGTCAGTCCTTGGAGAGGGGCATCATGCTTTGGAGGATGGAGGGACAGCACAGGAGGGGAAGACCCTCAATAAAATGGATTGATTCAGTGACTGGTGTAAGATTGGCAAGAAATAGAGCAGGGTTTAGGGATGTTGTACATAGGGCCACTATGAGTCGCAGGTGACTCAATGACACATAACAACAACAATTCTAGATGGATTGGTACAGTGATTACAACAATAGAATTGAGAATGGCAGATTATAAGGATGTACAGGATAGGGCAGGGCTGCGGTCTCTTTCCATAGGGTTGCTATAAGTCATAATACAACAATTCTTTCTTACTTCATTCTAACCATAAACAGATTAGGAAACTGACAATCAGTGGCACTGATCATCAGAAAGATACTTGTGGACTTAGTGTCACATAGATAAGTAGAAGAATTGGGAATGAAACTTAGATCTCTTGGTTTGCTCACCTGGACAAAGGGCACAGTGACTTCTACTGCACTGTTTTGAGAACAGAATGAGCTCTCAAATGTCAATGTGCCCATCACAGTGACTAGTTACCATTTAACTCTATTAAACTCATTAGTTTTATTTGGCACTGTGCTGTCGTTGCTGCTGAATCAATTCTGACTCATAGGCCCCTGTGATAGAATAAAAGTGCCCTGTAGAGTTTTTTTAAGGAGTCTTCGTGGTGGTGGTGCTAGATGTGCTGTGTAAGTCCAGCTACGAACAGATCTGAACGCTGCCCTCTCCCGTGCATCCTCATCGTCTCTGCCATCCTCGAGTCCATTGCAGCAATCACTGTGACACCCCATCTGGTTGAGGGTCTTCCTTTCTGTGGCTGATCCTCCTCTTTTCTAAGCATGATGTCCCTCTCCAAGGAATAGCCTCTCCTCACAGGATTCCAAAAGTATGTGAGATGAAGCTTCTTCATCATCTTTGCCTCCAAGGAGCGCTCTGGCTGTACTTTCTCTAAGATGTATCTGTTTGTTCTTTTGCAGACCATGAAATATTCAGTACTTTCGTCCAAAATCACAACTCAAAAGGCATCTATTCTTCCATCATCGTTATTCATTGTTCAGATCTCTGATGCATAGGAAGTGATTGAAAAGACCTGGCCTTTTTCACAGTACAGTATAGTTAGCACTCTACCAGGCTGCCAACAGAAAGCTCCTCAGTTCATGTCAACTATCATTCTGTGGGATAACGAAAGGCATTGTCTCCTGAAAGAAATTTACAATCTCAGAAATCTGATGGAGAATTGAGTTGGAACTAACTCGACATCTTTTGAAGGTTGTGGGCTTTTCTAGGCTGTTCTCTTTATGGGTATGGATCTTTAGCTCTTTCTTCCCTAGAGTCGCTGGGGGGATTTGAACCATTAACCTTTTGATTAGTGGGTGAGTGCTTAACTATTGCATCATAAGGATATACAGTACTCAACTCAACTCACCTTATTACCACTGATTCAGAACCAACTCATAGTTGACTCTCCAGCAAGTTTTTGGATGCTGTAAATCACGTAGGATTTCTCCCCTCTGTTTTGGGAACAGAATGTGCTCCCAAATGTCAATTAAAACGCATGTTGCATTGGGAAAATCTACTGTCAAGGATCTTTCCAAAATGTTCTCCTATCACCTATTTCTGCCTATCTTTCTCCTGAAAAGTAGCTGTGGATTCAAACTGCCAGAGAGGCGCCAGCAGCAAAATTGCCCACAGAGCTCCTCTGCAGTGCTGGGCACATGGATCTGCACACACGCTAGATTTGTTTGTTAGTGAGCCAGGTGGTCTTCTACGGCTGTAGTGACTTCTGAGGTGCTGTGTGGATGCACTTTGGTTCATCCCGCTCCCTCTTACCATGAAGCCACTCTGCTGTTGCCATTTTCCTAACATATGTGAATTCAGTAAACACTCCAGGAGAAAGGTGAACAATTTTGGTACCTGAAATCAAAGCTGACAGGTTGTGAGAGGGACTCCGCAGCCAGTTTAGAGGGGGCTGTGAACTGTCCCCAGGATGGAGCTCTTGCCATTCCACCACGTATTCTCGAATAGCAGAGGCCCTCTTAGGAGGCTCCCATGTCACCACCATGCTGTCCATGCTCGCTGGGTGTGCAGAGACCGAGTGAGGTGCCAGCAACTCTATGGGGGGGGGAAGGGATACAATTTCAGTGGATATAATGATTTTTACAGAAAAGAATAATTTATCCCAGTAAAGTTTCGGGAAACTAGAGTACTCTAGTGAATACAATATACAATCTTCTAATCTATTTTTCAATATCAAGAAAACAAAAATTCTCACCACTGGGCTGATGGGCAGCATCATGATAGATATCGTGAAGAGATTGAGACTGTTAACAGCTTTAGTTTGCTTGGCTTCACAGCCAACACTTGGCACCAGCAGTCAGGAAATTAAAAGGTGAATTACATTGAGAAAGTCTGCTGTCAAAGAGCTCTCCAAAGTACTGAAGAGCAATGATCTCAGTGTGCAGACTAAGGTGTATCTGATGCAGGCCATGGTCTTTGCAATCACTTGCTGTGCATCAGAGAGCTGGACAATGACTAGGGATAATAGAAGGAGAATTGATGCTTTTGAGCTGTGGTGTGGAAGAAGAGTATTGCGTATATCATGAACTGCTAAGAGAAAAAGTAGGTTCGTTCTGGAGAGGGTGAGACAAGGCTGCTATTTGGAGGCAAAGATTCTGAAGCTTTGTCTGACATACTCTGGACATCTTGCAGGGAGGGTCCAGTCCTTGTAGAGGGATGTCATGCTTGGAGAGGGTAGGTGTGTCCAAGACAATAAGATTGGCACAGAATAGAGCAGGGTTTAGGGCTGTTGTACATAGGGTAATTATGAGTCACAGATGACTCGACAGCACATAGCAACAGTAACCAAATATATTTTCTATTGTACATAGGGTTTTCTGAGGTCTGTTATTTCAGGAGAACAAACAGATTTGTCCTGGAGAGAGTGAAACCAGGCTGCTCCCAAGAGGCAAGGATTTTGAGGGTCCATCTCACATACTTTTGGCATGTGGCCAGGAGGGATCAGACCTTGGAGAGAGACATCGTGCTTAGAAGGGCAGAGGCATAGCACAGGAAAGGAAGACTCAGGATGAAATGGATTTGCAATGAAATGTCTTTTGTATTCTAAATATTAATCACTCCTCAGTGTTTGGTTTTTTTTGTTTTTTGTTTGTTTTTTTTTAAATGAATCTCCATGTCGTCCTTGAGCAGGGGCCATGCTAATCTTCTCTGTATTGTTCCAATTCTAGTATATGTGCTGCCGAAGCGAGCACCACTCCTCAGTTTTGAAAACTAGAAATATTTTACCACAGTTTGTCAGTTTTCTAACACCTTTATTTATTTGTTGGGCATGAATAGTAATTGTTCGACATTGGTAAATGTATGTATGGTTTGTGCCTTTTGCATTTTGAGCCTTGTGTACGGAATTCTTTTTTTTTACCTTTATTTTATTTTTTTTTAATTTAGGTTGTTTATTTTTCATTTCAATGAACATCTACAGAGATTTTGGGATTCCATTCATTCATTGTTGCACCCTTCTCCCCACACAAACCCCTCCCCCCTCCCCTGGGCTCACTCATGTGGTTACTCAGTCACATGTTCTACTGAGTTGTCCTTTTCATATTTGGGTTTTTCAATCCGAATCCATCTGAAGGGCTTTGTTTCTCTTTTTTTCTCTCCTCCCTTTTTCAACTTGGAAGTGCTACAAAGCAGGAATTTTGCTTTTTACACCTCTCTCTTTCTCCCTGCTGTTGAGTCAGAATCAAGTCATAGTTGACTCTCTACTGAGCTTCTGAGATGTGTGGGAAAAGACTGCTTGTTTTCTCCCAAGGAGTGGCTGGCTGGCGGCTTTGAACCATCAGAGAGGCATGGCTGTGGGCTTAGCTGCATGACTGCCTATGGGCTATGTTCCCAGAGATCCCATATTAGAGAGCGAGTTTTTCCAAACCCATTTTTAGGAAATTCTTCAAATCCCTAGGTAAAGAAGCTGTGGTACATTCACCCAACTGAGGACTATAAAGAACAAGAAAAAACTCACGAAACATTGTCTGTCTGACACAGATGTATTTAGAGGATGTTAAAGTGAGTCAATGACAAAAGGACAAGTATAAGACCAATGTTATAAAAAACTAAGGAAAGTTTTACTCACATATAGAATAATTTTTCACATGGTTATCAGAGATGGGAAGAGAGTGAGTGTGTGTGTGTGGGGGGGGACAGAGAGAGAGATTAGTAAACAAATGTTGTTGTGTATTATTTAGAACTGACTCATAGCTGACTCTACAGTGGGTTTTCAGAGACATTTAATTGTACAGGAGGAGACTGTCCATCTTTCTTCCACAGAGCTGCCAGAGGATTTGAACCATGTGCCTTTGGATTGGCAGCCCAACTACTTTCCACCAAACCATCAAAAGTATATATTAAGGTAGGTGAAGGGAAAGCGGTAAGGAAATGATCAGTACAATATCATTGAAGAAAAGACTCAGAGAGGTAGAGAAGGTTTAATGGAAATAAAAATTACAGAAAGAAGTAGGAAAAGTGTGCTTACATTGTAGGTATTGGCATTAATGTTACAGAACAAAATGTCTATGAATAATTGAATGAAAAATTAATTTGCTGCATTTTATTATATTTACCTTCACTCAAAATCACAATTTTGTTTTTTAAAAACTTACAAAATGAGAAATTTCTCTATATCCTATGGATCTGTGACACCGTCCCTCTCATGTAATCAATGGCATATATTCATGGGTCTGTTCTGCTTAGCCTTTTCATCAGAATTCATCACTTCTGCATACTTTGCAGTGTCTGTTCCTGCCTCTTTTTTGCTCTTCTTTTTTCCCAGTGGTTAGATATTCATGAATTTTTATTCCTCCATTCAACGTTAATAATCCATTTTTTAAAGACTCCAATTATTCCAGCTGATGTATTTATTGACATTAAACTCAGACCTTAATTTAGGATTATGGATATTGTTATAAAGTTAACTTGCTCTCTTCAAAACACTATTTTCAGTTGTTCAGATCTGTTAATGTTTTTTAATGAAATTTGAAAAATTGCATTCATATATTTTCTAGACACTACTATCCTTTTAGTTTTCCATCTAGATGGAATCTTATTTGCTATTTTTTAAAAAATAAAAACTATTAATCTGTGTGTGACACCACTCCTCTCACACAAAGCAAAACAAAATATCAAGTCCACTATCATTGAGTTGATTTTGACTCCTGGTGACCCTGCACTGGTTGTCAGGGGTGGTAAATCTTTAAAAGAACAGACTGTCTCCTCTGTTTTCTTTCAAGTGACTGATGGATTCAAACTGCCAACCTTTCAGCTAGCAGGCCACTAAGCTACCAGGACTCCAAGTCATGATATTTTTCAATTGCCTCGTATGCATGTAAAGGTTGGACAGTGAATTAGAAGGAACTAACTGATGTCTCTGGAGTGCTGATGAATAATATTGAACATTCCATCCATAATCAAAAGAACAAATTAATCTGTCTTGGAAGATGTGAAACCAGAGTGTTCTTGGTGGTAAGAAATGAAAAGACTTTGTCTCTCATATTTTGGACACACTACTAGGTGGGGCCATTCCTTGAGAAAGACACCAGACTTGGTAAAGCTGATCAGTGAAAAGAGGAACACTTTCAACAAGGGTGTCAACAACACGGATGGCACAGTCACTACAACATTGGGCTTAAGCACAGTGAAGATTTTGAGGATGATACAGAAACACCAGCATTACCTTCAGTTGAACACAGGGTTGTCGTAAGTAAGAACTACCTAACAACCACAGTACATTCATCTTATTTCTGGTAAACTTAAGAGTTTCTGAGTTTTCGATATGAAGAGTCATATAACAACAAAAGAATTTTTCTTTTACTTTTCAAAGAGAAGAATGAACTGGAGGCCAGGGGTAGGCAGGAAGAAAAGTGCAACAATGAATGAATGGAAATCCAAAACATCTGTAAATTTCATTGTTGTTGTT